GTTCAGCAGATCATTTAGGCAGTTTGAGGTCCCTTGGAATGAAGGAGCAGAAGAGTGGGCAGGTATATACGCACACTGAAGGAGCTGGACTGTTTCATGTGGCTCTGACTAGCAGAACAAAGGTGGATAGTGTCCTTCTTGGCAAACTGGGTGCCCTGACTTCATTCTTACTGGCTTAAACACTGCAAATGGAAGTACAGGGAGTTAGTGCCATCTCTGTCTCTTCAAATAACAAAGTAACAGGTTGTAAGGATCTACATGCCCAGAATTTAGAGGGATCCATGTTTCTGTTTGCAGGAAGGATGTTAAGGCCAGAAACCGAAGTGTTGTTTGGTTTTTGTTTGCTTGTTTGACTAGGATTTCTTTTATGAAGACATGGAACTTCTAACAGAGAAACTAAGAGCTCTGGCTACTGATGGAAACAAGCACCGAGCCAAAGTAGATAAAAGAAAGCAGCGATCCGTCTTCAGAGATGTTCTAAGAGCTGTTGAGGTGATTCTTCTGTCTGCCTTTGAATCCTGGCATTTGTAACTATGTAGTATACAATTTAATGAGAATTATTTTATTATAAAATAGAATTACTGTTTAAGTGAAAGCAACAGGGAAAAATTCCATTTCAAATTCTGATCATTTATGCAAAATACAACTGCATCCTAGGAATGTAGAACAAAAATGTTTACTTCATTTATTTTGCTCCAAACGACTTCCATACTGAAGAGTATTTTTTTCTGTAAAGAAGAGCAGATTTTTTTTTTGTAGAAAACTTTGTAGGACATCTGAATTAGTGTCCTGAATTCTGTGGAAAGGTTTATTGTAAAATCTCTTACTGAACTGCTGTGCATAATAAACAAAAAGCAACTTAGTAAGATGTTGCCAAATGGCATCTCGTCAGAGGCCAAAGAAGCATTTGTGTATGGAGGGGAGCTGTTGTCCTAACTGTTGTGCTGTAATCATCTGGTTTTCCATATCCAGATTAAGAGAACAGTACACAAAACAGGATCTAAAAATACTTGACATACTTGAGATAACTTCTGAGTAAAGCCTCTAAGACAAATGTCAAACTTTGATCACTTTAATGGATTATTTGTTGTCTTACACTTTTCAAACTAGATTTTTTACTTGTCGGATAATTACTACTTACATTGCTGTGTGGGTAAGACCAACTAAATACTAGTTGACATCAGAATAGTTAAACATCTTGGAAGCTGAGGAGAGGGCTTTGAAGTGATTTGAAGTCACCTTTGAGATTCTGACTGTAGAAGGAGTCACTCATTAGAGTCACTCATCAGCACTCCTTACATTCCATTGTCACAAATGTAGCTGCTGCACTTGAAAGGTGGAGACTAAATGAGGCTTATAAATGGGCTGAAAGGTGACTCCTGCACTCAGAACTGTTTTTTTCTGGAGATAAGTCCAATTCTTAAAAGTCATTTTAAGATGAAAGTTCAGTGTTCTTTTTTTAAATGCTTTCTGACCTGAAGAATGTCAGCTTCAAGTCTTACATGATATTTAACTTCAGGTGTGTGAACAAATACAATACTTGTTATATGCATATTATATTATTTGGAAGCTTTGGTGTGCCAATGAGTTATATACATTTTCTAATACAAATGACTGTTTAAATTAAAGTTATGTATGTTCTCTCCTTTAATTCTCAATAGGAGCGTGACTTTCCTACAGAGATGGTTAAGTTTGGACCTGAGCGCATGTATATTGACTGCTGGGTTAAAAAACAAACTTATGATACCTTCAAGGAGATTCTGGGGTCGGGAATGCAATATCATTTGCAGGTGAGCTGCTGTTTGATACATGTTCAGACTGTAGTTCTCTGGCTGGCTTCTTTGTAGTTACACAGTTATGAGTAGGACTTTGTGAAATAATGGGTTTTGCATTAGAAGTGTTAAAGGATAGCACTTTCAAAATGAACTACAGTGAGCTAGAACTGTCTGGGTGAGCTGCCTCTGAGTTGTGGCCTGGGTGTGCTGGGTTAGCAATTAGAAGACTTCTTCAAGAAGTCAGAGATGCAAGCTGAGTATCTTCGCTTCAGGGTTTTCCCTGAATTCTTACGCTTTCAGCAGAGTGGTGTAGTCACCTGGCTGCTATAAGGCTGTCTGTCTCCTCCCTTCCTGGTCAAGCCTGTAAAAAGGAATGCAAAGTTTTAGTCAAAAATAACAAACACAACTTGCAGCCCAGTGATGACAGCATTGCAGAAGGGAGGAGATAAGTCCTTATCTCTATTCCTGGAACTGGTTGTTCACCAGTCATCTGTTTGGATATGTAGTAGAAGCAGGAACTCTGACTTAGGAGTGTACACTCCCAAACTGCTATGATCATGGGGTTAAAGTCTTCAATTCAGTGTCAATTGAATTTCTTAGGACTAAGGGAGCCCAGACATGTGGCAGATATTTTAAATCGCACGTTTGCAGACAGATATTTTTTAAATGGTTGTGTTTTTAAAGCATACAGATCTGTGTCCAGTGACCTAATCTTGTGTAGATGATGTAACACAACAGTGTCTAATTTGTTGGTACAAAAAATTCAATGTGGGGGTGGTAGCTGCCTCTATCTTAAGAGGGCAGTTGTAGTTCTTAGCCTTATTATGATAAAGTTTTTCCTGGCTTATTTGCAAAAGATACTAAGATGTGCAGGAAATTGCTACTATTTTTTACTGGAAAACTTGATATGTAACAGTAGTCATCTTTGGAGACTTGATAATCGCAGTAGAAACTGATCATTTGATGTGTTTCTTCTTCAGTCAAATGACTTTCTTCGGAACGTGTTTGAGCTTGGTCCACCAGTAATGCTGGATGCTGCAACTCTTAAAACAATGAAGATATCCCGTTTTGAAAGGGTAGGTTATTGCACCTTAATGTATTTACTTCATACCATTTAATTCAGGTGAAATATATTGGTGTATTCCAAACAGGCTCTTCAGAAGCTGTCATCTTTAAACTTGCCACTTCAGTTCTAACAGTGCCCTATATTGTTCTGAATGAAACCAAACCTTGTTTATATGTCTCTTGGAGCTCGTATTTTAGATTTTTTTTTTCCACTGGGCACATGCCTGCTACTGCTTCCAGGAGAGTCTGAAGGTTGACTTGGTGGCTGATTGGTACCAGATTCATGCTCCATGTATGTGAAACTTGGGTTTACTGAGTTTAATCCAGGGGGCAACCTTAATCTACATTACGTCTGTATGATACTCAAGACTGACAGGCTTACAGAATTGCTCCTAGCTCAGCCTTTCTCATACAGTCCAAGTTTCTTTTAAATGTATATGTGTTAAAAGGAATCGGCCTTTGGTTCAAATGTATCACACTATCAATTTCAGAAGGCCTACCAATTTACTTCAGAGATGAATCAAAATATATTTTCAGCTGTTTCTAAACTTAAAAAAAATCTCTGAAGTACATAAAACTTTTGAACATCTGTGATTCATTTCTCCTTTTATTTTGCAGCACTTGTACAACTCTGCAGCATTCAAGGCTCGGACGAAGGCTAGAAGTAAATGCCGTGATAAAAGAGCAGATGTGGGGGAGTTTTTCTAGATCTCCTTTTCCATGGGGTTCAATTTTAAATATTTCATAATTAAAATAGATTTGTAACCTTTAGGTGATTTTTTTAAAAATTTCTGTACTCACAGTTTACACTTGTGCACAGGAATGTGTAAAATCTGTAAATATAATGCATGTTGTTGCTTAGTTGCATATACATTGTATATAGCTTGATGGGTGCAGGGATACGTTATAACGCCTGCATTAGATGCAATTGCTCCAAAGGTTGAATATATTATAACTGAACTGTTAAATGGGGGGGATAATCGTAGTGAAATGCTGTGTGTCAGACTGGATTCCTTACTTTATATTAAGGTAAATTTAATGAATTCATTGACCAGATGTTTTGGTAAGAATGTGCTAATATGAAAAGAAACTCTTTCATGTGAATTTATTTTAATAACTCTTCAGTGGCAGATGGGCAAAGAGATTTCTACAATGCGGCTTTATCCTGAAGCAGGCTATGAAGTTCAGTTACCTGCAGTTACAGTGAAGTAGTGAATGATGAGTACTTGCCTCAATGTAAAATAAAAACAAGATCCTCATGTTCTGAAATTGGATGTTTAATTTTTGCAATAAACATGTTTCCCGTTGCTTACTTTCTGTGTAGCAGTGATTACTACATGAATGAAAAGCTGGAACGCTAGCAAAACCTAAAGGCTGAAACAGATGGGTTGGTTGGTTGCCTGTTCAGACATGTGGTTGGGTAGTCTCAATGTTATTAGCAGATGTACATAAAACAGTATCTTGCTGTGTTTCAAAGGTATAGCTTATTTACGTATGGTCTGCACAATGGCCTACTGGTGATTTGTCATTGCTTTTGTAATTGTCAAATGTTTCCTGGTTCTGGTACTACAAAACAAGTGTGTCCCTTATCCCGCAGGAGCCACCCCAGCTGCCCTGTTTTCATCATGTTGAGAACTACTTCCCTACCCTCAGTTTCTGGCTCCAGAGGACTGAAATGTGCCAGTAACTGACAACTGGTTTTCTTAGGGGTGATGGGGAGGTTATGTAATAAAGATGCTGCAACTGAGATAGCTGGAGCTTCTGAACTGCAAGATCTAGAAATAAAAGTGCTTGTTAGAATAAACATTCTTGAAACTGTAGGACAAGTTATCAGCAGAGGAAGTAAACTTTATACCCAAAAACAACCCCACCCCACGCACTGAAAACTACTGCTTGCTCTGATAAGGGAAAGTTTGGTTTGGTTTTTTCCTTTAGTTTCAGATTATAGCAGAAACTATTCCAGAAAAACCATACATGCTAAGTGGTTGTACCTTCTAACTTGAATTATTTGAGGGGAGGGGGAAGTATTATGTAAGACTCTGTTTGGCTTATGAAAATGATTACTCAGACTACACCAGGGCCTTCAACTGAAACCTGTGCTGCTATTGACATGTGTTGTCAGTGTTTGTCACACAAGTGGAGAAGAAACTTCTGATCCTTGAAGGTGGTGTGTTTGCTCAGCCCTAGATGTTGCCCCTATGAGCTAAACTGTTCCCACAGGCCTGCTGGTGTCTCCCATGGCTTCTGAGTGGCTGTCTTTGGTACATTTTGCTGGTGTAAAATGGCACTTTCCTTAGCTTGCTGTCCAGCCAGTATTTTGCAGTATTGCTTTCTGCAGCACCTCCTGGCAGTGGCCAAGCATGTGGTTGCCCTTTCCCACATTATACTGCAGCTCTCACCCACAAGTGACAAGGATGATTTCCAAGGCTGTTTGAGGGGAGAGGGGCTTTTTTTGCTGCCCTACACAAATTTGATGGGTTTGGAGACATCTTCAGGCTTAGACTAGGAGAGGCCTGGGTCTTTGTCTTCCAACTGGAATGGTGTCAGGGATGGAGGTGACTTTTTTTTTTCCCTGGCTTGCACATTCTCATTTGGAGGGAGGACTTTCAGGAGACCCCTGCAGAAAAAGAGCAAGCTTGTTATGTCTGCACTACTGGCCCAGCTACTCAGACTGGGCAGCAGCAGAGCTTGTCAGCTTGGGATAGGAAACGATGAGTCAGAAGATGTATCCTCTCTGTTGTTTTCTGAAAGAAAAATACATTTATTGTCTTTTTAAATGGGTTCAAAATTTTAGACACAAAGAATGGCTTCAGAAATGATTTGTTATTTGAGCCATGGTCCCTTTGTGTAAGCATCAGCCGCCTGTCGTTACAGTGTGCTGTAACATGTTCTGCAACATCGGCACCAAAAAAACAGTGATGGAGAGAGCTGTCTGCAAAGGAGCAATTGCCACTGCTCGCCAACAGTCATCCTCTGGGAAAGCAGGCACAGAGGTGACCGTTCTTCTTGTTGAGTCCAGATATCCTCGGTGAGGAGAGAGGTACCTGCACAGTGTGCTCAGCACCACCCTGCATGCTTCAGGACGACTTTTCCCAGCTGTAACAATAATTCTCATTTCATATCAGAACCTTTTCTCCTTAGTGTCCTCAGGCCAGTGCCAGGCTCAGCTGAGTGGATGTGGTGCAGTGGAAGAAAGGGTGTCAGTCCCAGGCTCTGCTTCCCGTGTTGCTTTTACTTAACCTACAGATTGAAATAAATTTATATAAAGGTCTGGGAGCAGGACCAGACCAGCAGGTTCCCCCACTTCCAGTCAAGACCCTTCAGCATAAGATTAGAGAAACAGGCTGTTTTTTTTCTAGTCTATGCCTTTAAAGTACTCATAGCTGCAATACTGTAGATATGACTCTTCTGCATAGCAAACTGGTTACTCATAGCTACAGTGTTCTAGATATGACTCTTCTGCAGAGCAAATGAGTTTTAAAAAGGCATCATAGACCAAAAGGTAAGTGAAATATTGATCATCAGTTAACAAACCTCATTCTCCATGATAGGATACTATCATAATAATTCAAGTACAATAAAAAAGAGCTGTGTATGTGTTGATTTCTTTTTGAAGAGATCAATCGTGTGGAGTCAGTATACTCAGCCAAGATGAACTCTAAATATAGATTGGAAGGGACAGTCTGTTTCATAGCTGCCTTCATGGATCCTGCAGGAACTGACAGGTTCCTATGGGTCTAAAAGTAAAGAGAGGAGTTTTCTTCAGGTGATTTTCTGGCTGATTTCTTCCATACTGGTGTATTACCTGCACGTGGTTATGTTGTAAGTAACTTTTCATTCTCCTGGTTTTTATTTCCTTTTAGACTTGATTGTTTTCCATTTTTTCTGTGGAACATTTTCAGTGTATTCTCACTGAAGTGCTGATTTTACCACAACCTAAGGAGAAATGTAAAAGTTGAAAGGGGAAAAAAGTCTTTAAGCAAGGTTAAAGTACAGGACAGAGAAACTCCAAAATCCACAAAATTTAGATTAGTTTGTTGTGAAAATAGTCAGTACTTCTGATCAGTGATACCGATTCCTGTATCCTCTCTCTGTTGTTTGGCATGTCAATGAAGAAAAAACCAAATAAAGGTAGTACAGACTTTGTTGAACTAATAATAATGAATATATCCACTGTGGCTACATGCACAGTGAGGAAATAAGTTTTAAATAATTAATAATGAATGCAGAAATATGCAATTCATCATATTAATGAATCAAAGGTACTCACTTAGCTCAAGTTTCTAAGAAGAGTTTTCCCTGAAGTTGCAGGGAGGTACTAATCAAAATACTCCTGAGAAACCACTGCTCTTTGGAAGCTAAAAATAACCCAAAGCCCCTGTGCACAACGTGGTAACGTTTAGCCTGCTGTTGTTGAAACACAGCTCCATGGTGCTTGCGGGTGGCCACGGATGTGCTTGTGGGGAGGCCGCAGAGTCGGTGCTGGTGGTGATGTGGCTCAGACTGAGCTGCCTGGCACCATGCGACCTTCAGGGGAGTGACAGTGGATGCGGCCACTCGGCCTGAAAGTATGGCCACACACCTAAAAATCACACTCGAGGTAAGGGTAATGACTGGTATGCCAGCTTTTCTACCTTACCTTTGTATTTTGCAGCAACCATTCTGAACAGAGAGAAAAAATAAGCTATAATCTTTTCTTACACTCTATTAAGATATAAAGGATATATAAAAGATATAAAAGAGATCTAAAAGTACACACGTTGTCTGTGAATGCCCATCATCAGGGAATGAACCCCATCATCAGGAGTGATTGAAGCTCTTTTCTGGCCTATTGAGGCTTGGTGAATGTTTACTTGGCTGTGTGCTCAAATTTGGGGGAATTATGACAATCTTCTGCATTTGGTTTGA